TAAATCCTGAACCCTAAGCCCCTACATCCTCCCGAGACTGGGCCCCCGGCATTGGCTGGGAAGCTGGGGGTGCCCCGGAAGACCATATGCTCAATCCTGGGTTGCTGCTAAGGAACTTAAACTAAGTTAACATAATAAAGAAACCATATTCCCTACTAGATATCCCCATTATGGTAACTTAATAGAATTTAAGGAAGTTTCATTAAGTTAACAGATTGAAGAATGCATATTCCTTACTGGATATCCCCATGATGGTAACTTAATAGATAGAATTTAAGGAAGTTTCATTAGGTTAAGAGATTAAAGAAACCGTATTCTTTACTAGAGATCCCCGTTATGGTAACTGAACAACATGTAGGGAAGGTTCATTAGGTTAACAGACTAAAGACACCATATTCTTTACTATATATCCCCATTATGGAAACTTGAACTAAATAAATATCTTAACAGCAGCCCAGAATCAGGTGGGCAATGCCCAGCTGGTCCTCTGGACGGTTTATGGGTTTGGGGTTTAGGGTGGTTTAGGGTTTCGGGAAGCCCCTATGCTCAACCAGGTGGGCAAAGCGCAGCTGGTCCTCTACAACTATATGTAGAGATGTATCTAAGTGGGGTTAGGTTTAGGGTTGAAGGTTTAGGTTTTCGAGGAGTTTGAACGGGTTGCAGAAGGGTTTATAGGCGGAGTATAGAAGCGCTAACGATCGAACGTTCAGGATTGGTAGGATTGAATGCCGGGAGAAACTTAAGGCTTAGAGTTCGATGGACTCGGCTATCGCCTACATCCTAAACAGGCCTTAGGCCCTAAACCCAAAGCCCATCTCGACCCTAAGGGACCTTCCGTTGTAATACGTTAGCCCCTTTTTCTGGGTGCCTTACTGGTTAGATCAAGCGAAATAGGGTTCCTAGGGTTCCAAAAGCGACCCTGGGTGCCGAATTTTTTTAGTCCAACAGCTCAAACCACTGGGGGGTAATGTTGGGTTTAGGGTTTGGGGCAAACGGTTCAGGGATTGAAAATCAGGCCCTCACTCAACCTGAAGCCTACAAGAAAGGCTGAGAAAGGCTATGTGAGCCGAAAAAAAATGCCCCAAAACCCGAACCTCCTAGATGCCCCTGCCCCCAAACCCTGGCTACTTAAACCTGGAACCTAAACCCGCTCCCAGCCTCCAACGAGCTTAGCAAGACGAATTTAGGGTTTAGGGTTTATGGTACAGAAAGTCTAGTGAATTCCTTCATGAAAGGTGCCCTTGGTCAATAACGGATATCTAGATAAAGGAACACTCTCCCCGCTGTCAAAGCGTATACCCCAAACTCCCAAACACCAAATGACATAGACCTAAACTGTCGGTGACTTGTTTGTACTGTGCAGCAGCCGGCAAAATCAGGATTTGGGCATTCTTGGTGCGACCCTCTTTAGCATGTGCCGGATGCGGCCGGATTTGTATGTTGCATAACCACATTCCTTCTGCCAATGGTCAAGTTTCAATTGAGCAGTAGAAGAAAACAAGATGCTAGAAACGTCTGGCGTTAGTCTTGGCAGTTGTTTTGAAATCATCGGGGCTTGGTTTCGAGATTTTTGCAGAGCTTCGGGGGCGGCTAGAACCGCCTAAGCCCCCCGAAACACTACCATTCCGGCTGCTCAAGGTACCCCCAATTCCCTCCGACGGTACACCTAAACCCTAAACCCCTAAACCCCTAAACCTTAAACCCTAAACCCCTAAACCCCTAAACCCTAAACCCTAAACCCTAAACCCTAAACCCCTAAACCCTAAACCGTACAAAACCCCCCGAGAGTCTTCGGTTCTCCTCCTCTTCTGCAAGGCTCCCAACTCTTACCACCAGGCGAAGCAAGGCCCTCGCTCGAGGTTTCCGGTTCGTGTACACCACCTTGGGAAAAAGGGGTTTAGGGTTTAGGGTTTGAGGTTTAGGGTTCAGGGTTTAAGGTTTAGGGTTTAGGGTTTAGGGTTGCCTCTAAGGGTCTACGTTAAGGGAATGGAAGCATAGGGGTTACGATGTACCTTAAAGGATACTATTCGGGCTCTGTGAAGCTTCCTGAGGGTTCCCATAAGGGAGGCTATAGGGGTACTTGAAGGATCATGGGACTTAGTAAGTAGGGTTATAACTAGGGTAACTAAACTTATAACCCCAATTAGGGGAGTTATAACCTTACTTACTAAGTCCCATGATCCTCCAAGCTATTCTTGCATGCTTTTGTACAGGAAAAGTGTTAGGTCTCTATTGAGCTGCTCGCACACCTGTCAATTACGCTTCAATGCTATCTGAAAACTACAACCAAAGTGCTAGGAGTATGCTAAGGTACTATAATATTCGAAGATTACAGTAACCAAAAATGCAAATCAGAAACCTAAGCCCATTGTAAGCCCCGTGTCTCAGAGGCTGACATACCGGACGCCGCAGGGCAGATCCCCGATGCTGAAGCGGGGGTCCTGGTTTAGGTTATGGATTAAACCCTAAACCCTAAACCCTAAACCCTAAACCCTAAACCCTAAACCCTAAACCCTAGGGCTTTTTAGAAGGTTTAGTGTTTGGGGCTGGGTTTAAGGGGTTTATAAGGAGTTTACAGGTGCGGGGCTTAGGATTTGCGGGGTTAGGGAGATTGGGTTTAGGCTTGGGGACCCTAAACCCATAGGCCCCATAGTACTTCCTTTTCGGGGATGACCTTATAGGATTCTATAAATGAACCCCAAAAAGGAACTACTTTAGGGCCTATGGGTAACCCTAAACCCGTTTAATTCGCGTTCAAGGTCCTGGGGAAGCAGCTCATCCAAGCGAGGCAGCCGAGGCGGCCGCGAGATCAGCTTGGCCTTCGGCGGCTGTCGGTGGGGTCTAAGACGCAGCCATAGCAGCAAAGGCTTAATGGGATTCCTGAAAAGGGTTCGATATATTTATAAATATAAAGGTGACGATGAGGGTTCATATGTTATGTTGGATCCTTAGGACGAGCAGCAATGCTCATCACAACCGATAATACTCATTTTCAGCATCATCATCACCACCACTGTCAACATCATGTATGATGCCAGCTTGTCAACTAACAGCGGTTCTGACGACAAACAGCAGCAAGGCGTTTACGTCACGTCAGAGCCAGCAAAACAACAACACCAACAACAACAGCAGCCTCTTCTTTGGCGACTGTGACTACATCCGGGTGTCATTCGCCATCGCATTCACATCTTCACGATCACCATCACCATTGCCATCACCACCACCACCACCGCCACCACCATCATCATCATCATCATCACCACCATCATCAGCATCGCCATCATCATCGCCGTTATCATCACCGTCTTCGTCATCGCCAGGGCTCTCACTGCCGAACGGTACTGAATCGCAGTTTGATGTCCGGTTGCATACAAGGGGCGCCATTCTCTTCGTTATCGCTACCGGACGTCTAGAGGTTGCTGGGCATGGGGGTTCGAAGCTTCGCAGCTTGGGTGAATCCAGCCGATCCTGTGCACACGAGATGGTCAAGGACAAACTTTACCCACCTTTTCACGGGTGTTCTGCCCAAGTATCCTAGAAGAGCTGCGGTGCCTCACCCGTCGGTTTTTGGGGGCTTCTTCGGGCGACCTGCATGCATCTTATTGGGCAGAAATGGCAACTGGCCGGGTCACGGCATGTTGAACTCCTCCTGAAGGCCCACCGATCCACCACTACTGAAACGATAACGTCGGAATGCTAAACCGCAAATTCAACAAATCCTACACTCTCTGAAGTAAATCCCTGAATCCCACATCGCTGTCACTCCAAAAACCCTGAACCCTTTGCGCTCCTTCCTGAACCCACAGGGTCCTCTTTCTTCTGATGTCGAACCGTCAGCCAGAAGTCAGTGTTGAGTCAGTTTCAGAAGATTAGGGTTTAGGGTTTAGGGTCAGAAGATTCACAAGCAAACCCGAAATGACAAATGCTGAGGAAGGTGCGATGTAGGGCAGTCGCCATAGAGCGCGACGGCGCCGCCGCTGCGGGTCCATGGCTCTTCTCTAAATTTGGATTTTCAAGGTTGGGCTGAGGGCTCAGGGCTTGGGGGGTGAGGGTCTTTGGCTTGGAGTTTAGGGTTTAGGGTTTAGGGTTTAGGGTGTAAGGCTTAGGAGGTTTAGGGTTTAGAGTTCTATGGTTTGAGACTGCTGCCTTCTTAAAGGGGACCTAGGATCAGCACGGCTACAGGGCGAGTTGTTTCGTGGTCTGCGTCCGCGTGCCCCCTGCGCGGATGCCAGATGAAGTGCGGCTTGGAGGTCAGGCTTTGCGGGAATAAGTAATATAGGGGCCTTAATAATTAGAATAGGGTTTTACGGCCCATTATCCTATAATTATAATAAGGA